TTTGTAAATACAACCCAGTTTATGGTTTCATAAGTGTGACTTTATTAGCTAGTTTTATAATTCTATATATTTCTGTATTAGAATAAAATTGAAATTACCAGTGGGGGTTCATGAGAATATTACTTGTACATTAAAGGGGTCAATGCCTTAAACTAGTTTGAGAAAACATTGATTTATGAGCAGATTGCTCTCTTAGCCTTGCTCCAAATACCTTAAACGACTGGTAGAACCGGCCCTGGGTCCTGAGCCTAAGAAGGGGAGGGCTCCAGATCAGGGGGTGGCAATCTATGGCCCGTGGGTCAAATATGACCCTCCACTGTTTTTTTTAAACAAAGTTTTATTGCACCACAACTATACCCATTGTTTACAATTTGTTTATGGTTATTTTCATCAAACTTACTGGAATAAAGTTGTTCATAATATTCCTTTCTAATCCATTTAATGCCTATAGGATCTATAGTGACATCCTCCCCTTTAATTCCACATACTGCTAATTTGTTTCCCCTTTTTCTCTTGGTCAGTCTGGGGAAGAGTTTTGTCAAAATTACTGATCTTTTCAAAGAACCGGCTTTTATTTCATTTTTCTTCTCCACTGTTTTCTGTTTTCAATTTCATCAATTTCTACTCTCATCTTTATTATTTCCTACCTTCTGCTTACTTTGGGTTTATTTTATTCTTTTCTATTTTTTACAAGCTTGAATCATTGATTTGAAACTACCTTTTCTAGCAGAGCGAGACACACCTCGCTTTATTGCACTGTGCAGATACTGCATTTTTTAAGGTTTGTGGCAACCCTGAGTCAAGCAAGTCTATTGGCATCATTTTTCCAACAGCATTTGCTCACTCCTTGTCTCTGTGTCACATTTTGGTAATTCTCATATTTCCATTTTTTCATTATTATTATGTTATGGTGGTCTGTGATCAGTACCTTGGATGTTACTATTGCAATTGTCTAGAATTGAAGTGGAGTCTGAAGATGTGACTGAATCGCTGCAATCTCATGAGAAACCTGTAGTGGATAAGGAATTGCTTCTTATGGATGAGCAAAGAAAACGGTTTCTTGAGATGGAATCTACATCTGGTGAACATGCCATAAGATTGCTGAAATGGCAACAAAGGATTTACAATATTACATAAACTTAGTTGATAAAACAGTAGGTATGACTCCAGCTTTGGAAGAAGTCCTACTATGAGTAAAATGCTAAACAGCATCAAATGCTACAGAGAAATCATTCATGAAAGGAAGAGCCAATCAATGGGGCAAACTTCATTACTGTCTTATTTTAAGAAATTGCCACAGCCACCCAGCCTTCAACAACCACCACCCTGATCAGTCAGCAGCCATCAACATGAAGGCAAGACTCTCCACCAGCAAAAATACTGCAACTCACCAAAAGCTCAGAAGCTCAGATGGCGGTTAACAGTCTTTAGCAATAAAGTATATTTAAATTAAATTAAATTATATTGAACCTGCAATATCTCTGAGGTATGCCTGTAAAAGCATTTAATTATACAATTTTCCCTCTAAACACTGATTTAGCTGCATTCCACAAATTTTGATGTGCTCTATTTTCATTTTTACTTCAAAATATATTCTAAGTTTGTCATGATTTATCCTTTGAGCCATGGATTACTGAGAAGTGTTTTTGTTTAATTTCCAAATATTTGAGGATTTTTCACACATGTATCTCTTATCAATTTCTAGTTTAATTCTCTTCTGGTTAAAAAACATATTTTGGAAAATGTGGTATACGCACAATGGAATATTGCTCAGCAATAAAAAAAGAATGAAATCTTGACATTCATGACAACATGGATGGACCTATTATGCTAAGTGAAATAATTCAGAGAAAGACAAAGACCATATGACTGTACTTATACGTGGAATCTAAAAAAAAAAAATCAAAACAAACAGAAAGACTCACACATACAGAGAACAAGGGATGGCTGCCAGAGAGGAGGGGGTTGGGAGAATGTGCAAAAAAGGCAAAGGGAAATAAGAGGTACAAACTTCCAGTTATAAGAAAACATAATAATAACAAACTTTATACTATTTCGATCTTTAAAATCTGTTGAGGTTTATTTTATGGCCGAGAATATGGTTTATCTTGGTGAATATCTCATGTGTACTTGAAAGGAATGCATATTCTGCAGGCATTGAGTGGAATTTTGTAAATGTTTTGTAAATGTCAATAGATCAAGTTGCTTGATTATGTTATTCAGGCCTTCTGACTTTCTAAATTTTTTTATTTTTTTATTTTTATTTTATTTTATTTATTTTTTTATCCTCACCGAAGACACTTTTCCATTTTTTGTTCAGGTAGAGTGGGAGGGAGAGAGAGAAACATCGATGTGAAAGGAACACATCGAGTGGCTGCCACCCGCACAACCGACCAGGGCCGGGGACAAACTGCAGCCGAGGTACGCGCCCTTAGCGGGAACCGAACCCGGGTCTCTCAGAACCGCAGGCCGACGCTCTAACCGCTGAACCAAACAGGCCAGGGCCTGACTTTCTATTAGTTATCAGTTACTGAGAGGAGGTTGAAATCTCTATGCAGGCATGCTAATATACAAACATACATAGAAACTGTACACAAATATATATACAATGTGACAATCAAAATTAAGTACAAATTATATTTTTAAGCTTTCCCACCCCCTAGATTTTAAAAGCATTGTGTGTTCATTGTAGAGAAATTTTAAAATTCAATACAGTACTCATCCTACCACCCAAGTTGGTTCTACTCTTTACTCTTATTTGAATGAAAAGATATCTGCAGTGTATCAAAATGCCAGACACGTCCCGGCCTTCAGAGCCAAGCCTGTGAGCAGCCTGGAATGCCTGTTTCCCGCTTAAGCTGCAGAAGCCATCAGACATTTGCTTATCCTGGTTCTACCAACTGAGATCAAACCTCTTCTACTTCCTGGTTCTCCAACACGATCTAGGTCTCTAAAGGCTTCTCCAAGTTTAAGAATCTTAAGAATTATTTTTCTTCCTACAAGAAGCCAGTGTAATCTAAGTACAGCTCCTGTATGATAAGACATTATGCCATCTGAAATTATATTTCATTACTATTAAAACAATAATATAAAAGATAGTACCAAATAGTGTTAAAAGCAAATATTAATATTTAAGTTCAATACAAATATATGTAAGATTAATTCAAGTCCAAGAAGAAAAGCAGTGTATGCAATTTATACATTCAAATATATTTACTGAGTGCCTTTCATGTGCTAGGCACTACTCCTGGTACTAAGAAGAAAGCAGTGAACAAAGCAGACAGAGTCCGTTGAACCACTCTGGAGTAGAGGGGACACAAACAATAAGCATAAAGATATAATGCTAGACGGTAAAAACTCCAATGGAGAAACATAAAGCATAGTAAGACATGGGGAGGCAGGGAGTGTGGCTGATACTTATATGGTCAGGAAGTCCTTACTCATAAGGTGACAGAGAGAGAAACCATATGGGTATGCAGAGTAGGAATATTCCAGGCCAAGGAACAGCAAACACTTCCTGAAGCAGAAATGTTTGCTGGCATGTCTGAAGAACTACAAGGATCATGAGGCTGACTAATTTGAAATGTATAATGAACCAGACAACATACTTTTTAAGACACTTAATTCAATATAAAGCCACCTATTCAAAGTACAATATAAAAGCTTAGAAGTTTATCATTTTACATTTAAATGAGGTAATGAGGCTAGGAAAATCCTGACATTTCCTTAAGGAAGTATTTTTCAACAGTCTTATAAAACCAACACTTACTGGTCCAAAAACCAATATGACACTGTGTTATATAAGTATGCATATTCTGCATTTCTCTGTACACAGAAAAACAAAGGCAAAGATAACAAGACATGGAAATACTAAGTACCTATTATATCAGAGGGCTCTATTAAAGCAAAGACAAGCTGAACCCCTTTCTCACTCAGGAAAATAAATCACCTCAGGAAATACTGAAAAGCATTAGCCTACAATTACTATTTAAAGCAAATAAATACAAATTTTTAAAAGTAAATTTTCATATTTTACACAGGATTAACCCATGCAACAGTATGAATTAATAAAATAAGCATATATAATTTTTCACTCAAGTCACTTTATAAGATATTTTCAAATTCCCTTATTCTCCTTGACCAGGGAAAACATGAATTTATAATTTTAACCAGCTACAATAAAATGTAAAAGATGAGAATCATCCATGAGAAACTTTACAGCACTTGACTTCACCAGGAATTACATATTTAATATAAAACATGAATTTTAAAAGCCATTAAAATATGTAAAACCTTTTGTATGCCACATTTTCTCCCTTGACTTCTTGCTTAATTTTATAAATCTCAAAAGCTGTGTGGTAGTTTACACTATAGATACATATTCTTAATGTTAAAATAATTCAAGATTTTCATCTTCCAAACACAAATCTAAATATTACAAAATCGTAACTACATTTTATCTCAGTTTAAGGAATTCCTTATCTTCCGTTGGGATGATGCATGGTTAACTCTGAAAAGCACGACAACATTAAACGTTGTTGAGGCTGAAGAACACACAGGACTCTCCCACACACTGCTAATGGGAATGTAACCCAGTGAACATTTGTATCTTGTACCTCACCTACCACAAACTCTTGCAACACATCCTCATCTTCAACTTCCTGTTCACAACTCCCACTATGGAAAGTCATGCCAACAGTAATGGGCTGATCACTTTGTAAGTCATATAACCGTCTCATCATTACGCTTGAAACCAGTATAATATAGTATGTCAATAAATAAATAAATCTGCTCCAGGCTCAGACTGTAAAAAAGATCAAATAATCTCAACAGATGAACACATTTAATAAGATGGCAACATTTGCTCTAGCAATTAGACTATACTACCTTTAGAAAGTCATTTGTCTCGCATTTCATTCTGATTACATTAATTGATATTAGGGCAGTGGACTTAATATAAAAAAAGAATGGTAAAGGAAAAAGGAGAAAGAAAAACTTACTGGGATTAAAAACTCCTCAGCCAGATATTTCAAGGTGGCTGCTTCTCGTGCCAAGAGCTTGTTCCTCTCTCTCATGTTGCCCTGAAGCTGTGTATCAAACTCCTTTCTTACCACAGAAGCAACAGAGTCAATAATCACAAGTTTAACTCCTTTTGAAATAATTTCTTCTTCTAAGGATTCAATCCTGTAAAAGTAGAATTTGTAAAATAGTAAAAAGCTTATAATATAATTTAAAAAACAGGGCATTGCAAAGAACAACAAATTGTTCTTTCCTAAGTTATAGTGATGATTGCAAGCATTCAATTAACATAACTTATTTTCATATACCTCTTCAATACATATAGCACTCTTTTGAAAATAAACCAAAATGTTTTCAGTCCTTAGGTCTCCTTTGATATTGCTAAAGCTCCAATTTTAGGGTAAACCTACGTAGGGTAGCCAGTCTCCAAACTAGCCCATTCACTCCCATCTCCAGGTATTTACACCCTATGAAGTCTCTCCCATATTGTATTAGGGTTGGTCTGTGTGACTAATAGCATACGGCAGAATGGTGGTACGTCATCTCTGAGAGTAGGTTATAAAACTCTACAGCTGCCATGTTGGGCTCTCTCTCAGATCACTCACTCTGGATGGGGCAAGCAGCTGTGCTGGAAACAGTCCTGTGGAAAGGCCCACATGGTGAGGAACAGAGGCCACTGGCTAACACCAGGAAGGAAGGGAGGCCTTCCAGCAACTGTGAGAGTGACATTGACATTCTCCAAGATTCTCCAGCCCCACAATGGCCCTGAGATGACTATAGCCCCGGCCAAGAGCTTGACGGTCAGCCCTTGAGCAACCCTGAGCGAGAAACACCTAGCTAAGCCACTCTCAGAGCCTATGTGAGACAATATGTGTTTTCCTGTCTAAGCTGCTAAACTTTGGGTAATCTGTTAGTGAAGCAATAGATAATTAATACACCACTTAATTAATTAAATAAAACATTTTATCAGGTTTTATTTTCATTTTTAAAGAGATACTTCAACCAATAGGCCACAGTGAATAAAGAAGAACAGAGAAGAAATTATTTCCCATAAACCTAATATATAGGGACTTTTTTCACTCACAAACTAAAAACACAAAGACCAAAAATTAAATCTTCGAAGTATTACTTAGATACCAAAACCTAAAACGACATACCTTTGTAGAACCTCATCACAGCTGAGTTCCCGATACAGATGAACTTTACTGCTTGTCAAACGTAATTTTTCTTCAGTGTTAAAATATCTGGGAAAACGAGATTCTGCTATCTCAATCAGTCTGTGGGGCAAAAAAAACAGCATAAGTGAAGATACTCTATGCTATTTAAGGCCACATTGCTGAACCTCTAATGAATTTTACTTAGGAAACACGTAAGCCACACGGAACTATAGAACGAAAGCCTCATGGATAGAGAAGGTATAAGCAAAATGGCCTAATATATAAGTTTGGAGTGTAAGCCCTTCTTTATGAGCACTAAAAGAGATTAGCAAACAGACCATGAGACTAGCTTTTAGATCTCATCGAAAGCTGAGCAAGCAACAATGCCTCTGGGGTTTACCTTTCTGGGAATAAATAAGTTTTTTTTAAAACGATATTTTGACTAGTAGCTGTGATATATGTTGAATAAATAAGAAAAATGCTTGCATTTTCAAGAATGAAATATATTTGAATAAATATGGAATATTATCATTCTAATAATTAAACATCAGTAAGTCTCCACATCTGAGACCTAAAAGATATGCTTTGTCCATTAAAACATAATACATACAAAACAAATGCTATTCAGTAGGTCCTGGGTAAACAGAAAATTATTGTCTACAAAAATGAATATTGTTTGAGATTTCCTTAGTAAATAAAACATGATTTTCTAAACACTGAATTCTGACCTCAAAGCTAGTTCTAATGCATGGGGTAGGCCAAGCATAGGAGAGTGACAAGTTAAAACAGATGCAACTACCTTTATTAATAGTACAAGACATGGGCAGCAGTACTAGAAATTTCAAATGTTTCTGGCTAAAAGTGTAAATCTTTGAGTGCAACTGTCTCCTATTTATCCTCACCCGAGGACATTTTTCCATTTTTTGTTCAGGTAGAGTGGGAGGGAGAGAGAGGAACAGAGAGAGAGAGAGAAACATCGACGTGAAAGGAACACATCAAGTGGCTGCCACCCGCACGACCAACCAGGGCCGGGGACAAACTGCAACCGAGGTTCGCGCCCTTAGCGGGAACCGAACCCGGGTCTCTCAGGACCGCAGGCCGACGCTCTAACCGCTGAGCCAAACCAGCCAGGGCGCAACTGTCTCCTATTTAAAACGACACTTGGTCAGCCCCGTACTTAACCACCATTCAAGGGTGACCGGGAAGAAGGCCTAAAAACCCAAAAACCATCCTAGAGTTTATGTTCCATTTAAAGACATAAAGTACAAAAGAACAGTGTTTTTATTTCTCGATAGTTAATGAGTTCCAAGAAGAGGCTAAGAACTTTAAATAAATAAACAAAGTTCCTCACATATGCTATAATCAGAAATAAAAGAGAAACATCTAAAACAGGAAGAGAGAAACATTAAAGAAATCATCAGGTTGAACAAGAGGAAAAATTATTTTAGGAGCAAGGAACAGGACTGAAAGATGTGTAAAGAGTAAAAACAAAATGGATCAAATGACCATTCAAGAGAAGTTCCTAAGAAAGGCATAAGAATTGAAAAAAAAAAAAAAAAAAAGAGGAAATGAAGTAAATGATAAAAGCAAAAAGAAATAAGATGGCATTAGCAAAAGCAGAACAGGTATATTTTGAGGGTTTGGGAAATGTGTCAATTTTTTGAACAGGGCAATTATTTCTCGTCAGAGAAAGCAGCTAAAAAGCTCTGGCACTTGGCACCCACTGATTTTGAATAGGATAGGAATGACAACATCCATCAGAAACAGAAGTTTTCAAAATGTGGGTGCCCAGTTGATTAGGAACCAGACTGAGAGTACCTAACTCACTAGCAATAATTGAACAGCTGACAGACAATAATTTTCCACTTCCAACAGGAGGCTGGATTTCAAGCAGTGGCTGAAGTGTGAAAGGCTCTGGCACGGGTTACTGCTCTCTCATGCCTTTGGCGTGCTTCAGAAGGAAGGTGGCCACGGCACAGGCATGAACTAACTGGATTCAGAGTCATCATGCTCTCTTCTTTCCCTAATGCTCTGGTGGAGAGCAGGGCGGTGGCAATATCTCTAACACCATGAAAAGCAAAGGCCACGGCTCCTGCTGATGACTATTTACTTCTAGATATTAAACATATCAGATACTCCATTACTAGACAATGGGAGTATTTTCTTTCTTTCCATCCTAAAAATGCACAATTTATCTGATTTAGTATGAAATAAACTAAAAGAGCCTTCCTAACTAATAACCATGAGAGATGGCAGAAAAGAAAAGAAAATTACATAGGGTTTTTGCCCAAAGGTTTAAGTGGGATGGTGGTGCCTTTAAGGTCAAGCTTAATAAGCTTAGACTAATTGGACAAACTTAGGAATTGTTCACAGAGACAATAACCATAGTTAGACCAAATAACTGTATCAAATGGTTATTTACATACCAATATGCTGTAATTTTCTATAAATTTTTCTAAATGTTTTGTTTTAATTTTAGAAGAGATATCTAAAAACATATGAATCAAAAACCAAATAGCCCTGGCCAGTTTGGCTCAGCGGTTAGAGCGTCGGCCTGCAGTCCGGAGAGACCCGGGTTCGGTTCCCGCTAAGGGCACGTACTTCGGTTGCAGTTTGTCCCAGGTCCTGGTTGGTCGTGCGGGAGGCAGCCACTCGATGTGTCCCTTCACATCGATGTTTCTCTCTCTCTCTCCCTCCCACTCTATCTGTACAAAAAATGGAAAAATATCCTCGGGTGAGGATAAAAAATATATATATATATATATATATATATATAAATGTAGTATTCTATATGCCTTACATTAATCATTGAAATTTCTCATGATAATCTTCATCACAAAGATCTGTTTTGTTTGGAGCAAGCAACAGAAAAGAACCTATCTTTTGTTCCAGACATTAATTACATAAAGTTTGACAACAATGCCATCTAGTGGACATCTCTTTTATAAAAAGTATTCCTTTCAAAGGATGCACTTATGATTCAGTAATTCAACAAATATTTATTGAGGACCTGCTACATGCCAGTCACTGTTCTAGGTGCTAAGGATATGGCAATGCATAACAACCAAACCAAACCAAAAAGATCCTCCCCTCATGGAATTTACATTCTACTGAGAGAGACAAAGAAATATAGTATATCATATATCAGATAATAAATGCTCTAAAGAAAAATGAACCAGGATGAGGGGACAGACTGTGATTGATGGAAGTAAGTGCCATTTTATGTAAGGTGATCTGGGAGAGCCTCTTTAATACGGTGACATTTGAGCAAAGGGAGATGAGAAAAATGAACCATGTGGATAGCCAGTGCATAGGAAGAGAGTATAGCAAGTGCACAAGGCCGGGTGTAAGAGGCTGATGTAGCTGCAACTCAAGAGGGAGAATAAGAAGCAAGGGCCCTGGCCGGTTTGGCTCAGCGGTTAGAGCGTCGGCCTGCGGTCCAGAGAGACCCGGGTTCAGCTCCCGCTAAGGGCGTGTACCTCGGTTGCAGTTTGTCCCTGGCCCTGGTTGATCAGGTGGGTGGCAGCCACTCGATGTGTCCCTTTCATGTCGATGTTTCTCTCTCTCTTCCTCTCTCTCCCTCCCATTCTATCTGAACAAAAAATGGAAAAGTGTCCTCGGGTGAGGATAAAAAAAAAGAAGTGCCCTGGCCGGTTTGGCTCAGCGGTTGGAGCGTCGGCCTGCGGTCCTGAGAGACCCGGGTTCGGTTCCCGCTAAGGGCACGTACCTCGGTTGGTTTGTCCCCGGCCCTGGTTGGTCGTGCGAGTGGCAGCCACTCGATGTGTCCCTTCACGTCGATGTTTCTCTCTCTCTCTTCCTCTCTCTCCCTCCCGCTCTATCTGAACAAAAAATTGAAAAATGTCCTCGGGTGAGGATAAAAAAAAAAAAAGAAGAAGCAAGGTCAGAGGGCTAGCCAGGGGCCAAAACCACACACGATCCTTAGGTCTGTGGGTTTTGTTTAGATTTTATTTAGTAAAAGCCTAGAAGCAGAATGGGTATGACCTGACTTCTTTTCTTTTTGAAGAATCACTAGATACCAAATGAAGAGGCTGTAGATGGGCAAGGGTGAAAACAAGACCACTAGTGCAGAAGGTCCAGATAACAGATGAGGGTGTCTTGACCTAGGGAATAGCTCATGTGATCTGAAGTAACTGAACCCAAAATGTAGTTCAAAAGAGGAGCCAAAGGGACTTCTGGACTATCTGGTCTGCGTCTGGAAGAATGGAATTGACCATCCACCGAAGTAGAGAAGAATGGATTCGGTGGTCAAGGTGTTTGTTATCAGTTCCCCGTTACTTCGCAGCTCTTGTATAAATGTAAAGTTAAAAGCTTTACATTAGTGACCACATGCCAACTTGAAACAAAACATATGCTTAATGTAACAAAACAAAAAAAGTCCTTCCGAAATTGTAGTTGAAATATCACATCATAAATATGCTGAAATGAAAGTTTATGGTTTTCCAAAGCTTTCTGTATATGTGTAGTATTTTCCTGTTCATTAATTCAATATGTACTTGCTCAGCATTGTGAGATTACTACACATAAAAACGTGAAATCTATTAGTTCCTTACAGATTCCAGAGAATTCCAAAGTTTTGTTTTAGTAATAATAAGTACTTATCACTAATTTCCATTTTCTTTCCTAGAAACTCTTCAGAATCTCCTTCCCTAATAATTCACCTAGATTCACAAATTATAAGGCAGCTGAAGTTGGACTAAGGAGAACCTACCGAGATTCATGAAATCATCTATACCTGGGTCAAAGATCCTGGATTTGTACCAACTAGCAAATAGGTAACTAAGACCACACTGGTACTGCCTTCAGAACCAGCCAAAGTCGCGACTGGCCACTACCCTCCATGCCTCCCTCTTGATACACTGATTCAGAAAGAATGACACTTTAAATAGACTGGCAGGAATTAAAGGTCACTGACTTTGGGGTACCTAACACCCCAGTGACATGCATACTAAGGACAGCAGCTCCTTCAGACCTAAGGATGACCACTGCTTCCATACAAACCAATACAACACACACCTCTCCCGTATACTTAGCTATGATTGTTAAATTTTACATTGTTGTGATTATTTGATGAATGTCTTCCTCCCCTTTTGGACTACATC